CCCCAAAACCCCAAAACCCCAAAACCCCAAAACCCCGAATTTTGATATTAAAGTGCGTTAATTTTAGGTAAGATTATGAGAAGATTTTAGATATTTGTTAAACTCAACTTCGTATTTCTCCTCCCCAAAAAGCACCTTGATGATGTCTTTGATTCTGGCTCCATACCGGCTCTGGAAAATATAATTGCATCAGTATTCCTTGGCCACTCTTTTAAGTTCTGTGCTCTTGAGTGTTCCTAGAGATAAGTTGAAGACTTACAAATTTTCTTCTCAAGACTTGTTTGACTCTTTAATAACTCTTTAAGCTTCTCTTGTGCTTCATTAATGTTTGGATGTTTAGAATTAAGAAAAGAATCTTCATCTTTGCAATAAGTAGGAGGACAGACTCCACTATCTTGATCAGCTTGAAGCTTCTTGATATCCTTGTCTCTAGGAATAATGCATAAAATTACCCTTTGATGATAGTGATAACTTCACTCTCAGTGATTTCATTATTTTGCACTATCCGGTCAGGATAACAAAATTTAGTAGGATCGGGTATATATCTAAAGATTGTGCAATAAGCTTACCCTAAATATGGGTCTTCTCCAAATGAAGTCTCATGAGAGATCAGGCTAGACTCTGACCCTGAGTTATCCCTCCTACATATTATTTTGATTCTCACTCTTTATTGCCAGCAAATGTTTTGGCCATTTTGTAATTATTCATACTTGTTTTGTCTTCATTTTGATTGAAAAGTAGTGGTCTTTTCCTTCCAATCTCAGTTTTAGAGACAGGTAGCCTCTTAAAAGGGTTATTTCCTTTGTTTCTGCTCATAAAAGCAGCTTTGTTTGCTATACGAGTTATAGATGTATCTCATACACTGAATTGTTGTATATCTTGCCTTCTTTGAGTCATTAATGAATCCAAGAAATCCTATAAATTTAGGAGCTAATCACACCTTTATTATTATTCTCACTAAGATCTCTGATGAATCCATAGCTCTGACCCTTATTTATCTCACCGATCTTCCTGTTCTTGTCCTTCAGGATGCTCTGGTACAGAATTCCAGCCACTGAGGTAGGCCTAGATTTCTTTATTAAGCTCCTACAGAGATTAAAAATTCTTTACATACTCGTTTGGGTACTTATACTCCTCTTTTTCAGGTTCTTCTACTAGTTTAGGCCCTTTCACACTGTCGAAGAAATTCGTTGGCACAGACGCCTGTAAAAGATTTGTAGTTGAAAACATTGATATTCTTCTCACTTGTGATCGCTTGAGTGATTTGAGGTTCTTTGGCAATGATAGATTCATACCAAAAGGGACTCTCCCTCCTCCAATATCTGTGTTAAATTTCATAAGCTCGCTATTTATCAACCAAATTTGGCTGACTATAATTCCTAAGCAAGGACTGAATTTTAGAGCCATTTTTCATAATGAGTTGGTCTTTGATCCAACTTTTCATCACAAAGATTCTCGCCTTTAACTGCATATTCTGAAAATCAAGGTTCGCGTACCTAAAAATGTACCTTTTTGCTTCTTTATCAACGAAATTAGGAAGCATGGATGGGAAGATTGCGACCTTGATCTGCCATAAATTATGAATGATCCATACGATTCCGTTATTCTTAGTCATTTCTCCACTCTTCATAATGTTCAAGTAATGACTCTTGAGTGCATTTCTGACCAAATCGATCTTGCTGATGTAGATATCAATCTCGTCTTCAGTGTATTTAATTTTTATTCCGACGTTGTGCTACGCATTTTGATGTATCTATCATCCTCATGTTCGAGAGACTTGATCTCCTTTTTCATCTTCTCTCTTTGATGGTTGAACTCAAGTACATCCTTAAAGTCTCCATTCTTATTGCTCTTCTTAACAGCTTGGTTAAATACAGAGTTTTTACCCTTAAACAACTTGTTGAACTTAGTTGAGACCTTGTAGAGCCTCTCCTTGTTCTTGGAGATAGTCTCGAAGAACTCGTTGTTAGAGAACAGCAACTTTTCTCTCTTCTGAGAAGAATCCTTGATGGCCTTTTCGAGGTGAGTATATTCTTTCCATAACCCCTCTTCCAAGACTTTCTGTTCTTGGGCAATCTTTAGTTTATCATTCTTGTCCTTAGCGAAAATCTTGACAAGGTGATCAATGTTGAAACGATCTTTTGCTTTATCAGTCTGAGGTCTCGATGCTATATTTTCCTGTGAAGTAGCTCGTAGATTTCCTTTGCTCTTGAGCTTGAAAGTTCCGAGTTGGTAACTCTTTCGCTTTCTATAAATTTGCACCAGAGTATCTTACATATCATTTGGATCTATTTCAGAGCCCGAGCTGGAGCTACTACTTGAGGAGAGATTGCTCCTTTTTAAAGACTCTTTAAGGTCCAGTAGAAGTCTGTTCTTACGGATCTTCATCCCACTGGTATCCGGCTTTGCGTACAGATCCTTGGTAATAGAGTCCAAATTCTTGTAGTTGACAGTTGGAGACCTGTTCTTTGACACTTCCTAAAAATAACTGCTCAAAATACTTGAGTGTAACGATTGGACATTGACATAATATTAGCTTTCAGATTATTTAGAGTATTCCTGTAGCTCAGCATTCTTGGTATTTCTCTCCCAGTTGTCTAATTTCTGTACCTCTGAGCTCTCTTCTTCATACATTTCAAGGCTTGATTCTGGAATCAATCAACAAAATTTACCTTTCTTCCTCTGCTTGGTAGGCACATTTTTGTATCTCAGGATGAACTTTTTGTTAATAACTTTAGTTTGGTCTACAAAATCTTTCTCCTCATTTGTAGGCTTCTTTAGGATGCCGACAACTGACTTCCTAGCTTTGGGAGATTCTGCTACTTTATTTAAGGCCCTTGCCTATATTCTTTGTCTTGAGAGGTTGTCTTAACTCCTTGAATTTCTTGGCTACAGATAATTCTACAGCTGATACTTACATGAATCATAGTAAATCTGGGGCTGACTAGTGGATATAAGCACGGTCTTAGAACTCCGCTTCATGTTTGATTCTGATATACCCTGTAAGATAAAATAAAATATTATCCTAGCGTTTGGGGTTTTGGGGTTTTGGGGTTTTGGGGTTTTGGGGTTTTGGGG